CTGAAGACCTTTAACTAGCTGTTTTAAAAGAGAAAAACAAAACAAAACCAGGTTGAGATATTATGAACTAATTTAGTCTTTCCCTGCATTTCCTGAAATGACTTCAGGCTAGATGAAACTCTGTTGGTGATGAGGAGTACATCCTCAAGCATATGCTGAGTCTGAGAGTGGTACTCACGCCTTGAGAAATGTACTTATCACTGAGTAACTTAAACTTTAGCATCGTTCCTGTTTTCTACTCTCTCAAAACCAGCCCCCAAAATTCTCTTTGATCAAAGAAGGGCAAATTAACCTGGATTTTAAATATCCTGGCTGCAATTTAGAAGAGCTCCATAACTGGACTGCTTTTTGCCCTTTCAGCATGGCTACTTAGGATCCATTAAAATCCAAACCTTGGCCTCAGAAATGTAAGAGTCAGCAAAGAGATGAGCTTTTGACAGGTATGCATGCAATCCGTGGGAGCAGGCCAAGCTCAGGAGCCAGGGTGAGAGAAGGATCCCATTTAGTACCAGGAGCTATGCAGGCAACAGAACATATCCTGCTTCTTTCAGGACAGCGGTTCTCAATCTTTTTTAGACTTGAGGCACCTCTGGAGAGGCTCTGCTCCCCCTAAGACAATGTCAGCTTTTTTCTTTTTTGACTACAGAAAAATAAAAGTGAGAACTAGTACAGCAGTTCATCTGTTGCAGAGCTCAGAAAGACCACAACTAGGGATTTCTGTTGCCAATCTCTGGGTTTATTTTGCGAATCACAATTGTACACCTAACAATTTGTGGTACTGCAATGCACCCTTGAAAGGATCTCAAGGCACCCCAGGGCGCCATGGTATGCTGGTTGAAAACTCCTGCTTTAGGAGCTCCGTAAGACCGCACACAAGTCATCATGTTCAATAAGTCTAGTTATCTTCAGCGAGCTCATGATGGGCTCAGGTTGGTGGCTGTCACCTCCCAGTATTCACCCGTATACTTTTCTTGCATTGTAAATTCCCAGACCACCCTATGTTGAGCATGTACAGCAGGAAGATCATTTTCCAAGTGCTTTAGGAATTCACAAAACTCTCGATTCTCTCTTCGTTACCCTTTGCCACTGGGACTGACTGTGCCACTAGCAAGAGGCAAGTTCCCACTTTTTGTCCTTTTGGTGGAAGTGAGAATTTTGCCATCTGTCCTTGCTGGGAAGTGTGAAGAGCTTGCTGGCTCTTTTGCTGTTACTCATACTCGAGGTGGAGACTGAGTACCGTTGTTACCCTCATGCACATATAAGAGACTGTTATACATTATTTAAAGTTCTTGCCATGCAGTACCCCAAGAGGTATACTAGAATTTCCTTCCAAGTACTTTTTAGTCATTCAGTTTTGCTTGACCTGATCAAGAAGAGGTGCACCGATAAAGATTTTCTTGGTCGATATCAGCAGCTGATGATTAACCAACCATATCAGCCAATGCTGATCTGATAACTGATATGTGTAATAATGCAAGACATTTTAAACTACTGACATAAATAAATCCTTTTCTTTTTTTTTTTATGCACTCTTGCAGCCTCCCGTGTCTCATGTACCAGCATCCCCATGCTTAAAAATGGTGGGGCTATGGGAAGACCCTGCTGCAGAGCAGTGGGTAGCGGCTGCTGTGGCCCCTGTCAAGCTCTGTCCTGGCCCCTGGGGCCCGAACCCCTGGGCGCTGTGGGCTGGGCCAGGCACCTCCGCCCACCCATCATGTCTCTGCAGCACTTGCCACCTTCTACAGTGCCCACCCTGGCCCCAGCCCACAGTTCACACCATGCCAGCTGCTCTGCTCCAGCCTGGCCCAGCCCCCGGTGAGGGGATGGGGTGGGGATGGAAAATGGCTTGGGCCCCTGCATGCAGATTGGGGTGACCTCTGCACTCAAGGTCACCCCAGCTCACAGGAGTGAACCCAGGCATCTGGGGCCCTGGTCATACAGCATAATTAATCAGTGAAGATTACTGGCTACAACAGGCAAAAAAAAGCTGATGGCCAATAATGTCATTTCCATTTTATCAGTGCCAATCCAATATCCAGCTGATCTATCGGTGCACCTCTACTATTCAGCTCGCTGCTTGATTACAATAGAAACAAACACCACTTTGAGAGACTGCTCCATCCCGTTTCTCCTGCTACCTTGATGAAGGAAGCGTGGTAAATAGAATAATTTTCCTAGAGAATTAACTGTAAATGATGTCTTAAAAGAGTAAGAAGCCACACAACAGGCACAAAGAATCAGTTCTGGAAGAAAAGCACACATTATAGTACATTCCAGTTCTACAGCAGGATTCAAAATGTAGATCGCAATAACGTTCAGGAAGAGCGAGTTTTATAATCAAGTATAATTTACAGACACGTACGGCAATACATATGCATGTCGTAGACTAAGCCTGGGGTCAGAACCTATTCCTCTTATTAGGCGCCTAATTTGATTAGGTACTTAAGCGTGACGCTATTCTACCCCGCTTGCTCCCTGTAAACCGTCAGCACGTCTACTTTAGGGGAAGCTGCCCTTGAGTCTTAAAGGGGAGTCTGGAGGTGCTCTTCCCAGACCAGTCTCAGCCTCTGGTGCTTCCTCTCTGCTCTCTCTCTGGCCCTAATCGTGGCCTCCAACCATGGACCTGTGGCAATGTCCATGCCTCCCAGGTCTTGCTCAGTTTCTTGTCATTGGGCCCGCAGGCTCTACTAGCTCCTGGTCCCCTGGGCCCTTGGCCTTGCCTTGGCTTCTGCTCTCTCAGGCCTCCAGCTCCGAATCTCAACCTCGGTTCACTTGGGGCCTGACCCTGCTCTGGCGTTAGTCTTTTGGTAGGGACCTACCGAAAGCACAATTGTGCAATTTCTGCAGAAAATTTGAGAATCGGGCATTTTCAGCAAAAAAATGGTGGGCTCCACAAAATGTTGTGGGCTCACAAAAAAACACCTTACCAGAAAGCGGGGGGAAGCCCTGGAGCTTCGTGGAGTGAAGGGTGGGGGGAAGCGGCAGCGGGGAGGCTACAAGCAGCCCATGGGGGCTTGCCTGGGCCCGGGCCAGTTGTGGCAGGCAGCCCGGAAGCTGCAAGCAACCGCACCGGGCTCCACAAAGCCCTGGTTTGGCTGGCAGTGGGTGCACAGGTACCTCGGGGATGATGGCGGTGAAGCTGCCCCGAGCCTTTTCCCCACCGGTGGCCCCGAGGCGTGTGTGCACTCACTACCAGTAAGGAGCTGGGCTGGGGCTTGGTGGAGTCCCGTGCAGCCATTTGCTTGGGGATGGCCTCAAACCATGGCTTAATTATCCTGATTAAGCCCAGGGAAGCAATTAATCCATACATCACTAAACATGGATTAACAGCTTCCCTGGGTTTACTCAGGGTAAAGCCCCAGTTTTGGGTCATCTGGCAATCTGCGGGGAGGAGTGGGGCCACCGGGGCCCCTTGGCAAGAGGTGTGTGCGTGTGGGGCGGCACCGTGCTCCGCCCATGAAAATGGCACCTGGCCCCGCCATCTCCTTGCAAAATTGGGTGGGCGCCTCCTTGAGTTGGGTAGGCCCCTATCTAGTCTGGTTCTGGCTTCAACCCCTTAAGCCTCAGCCCCTCTGCTCTAGCTTCAGCCTACCTGTCGGGGCTTCAGACCCCAGCTTTTGCCTCTATAAATCCCCCAGCCCTTACACAGTTTAAAACTGCTGTGTGCTCCAAGCACCATCCTGTGCTCTCCAAACCAACCCTTACAGCCACTCTGAAGAGCCCGTTTACTATGAACAAATCCTTAACAGAAACCACCCCACGGGGTGAACAGAAACAGGCATCAACTGAAATGCTAACCCAGCTGGGCACACTCACCAAGCGGGAGAGGCTCTCCTGCCCCACTAGTGGCTCCTCCTCTCCTTTTGGACCCGAGTCCCCTACATCCTGCAGGACAGTTCCCCTCTCCCTGACGGTCAGGGACTGAGTGACACCCTCCGCCCAGGAGGCAAGCCAAATACAGGCCAACCCCGGCCCTACTGGTTAGCTGACCCCTGACGCTCAGTCCCGGTGCAGGTTTCCTGCTATCCCATCTACAGCCTCATTTATGCTCTGCAAGAGACCAATCCACAGTCCTGGGTCAGTCGCTCCTCATTAAGCAGCCTCTGTACCTCTCTCTCTGCACCCACAGTGCACGCAATGGGGCGGGGGGAAGGACAGCTGCACCTGGATCCATGTCCTGGTGAGCAAAAGGGGAGCTCTGATTTTCAATGATAAAAAAAACCCAAAATCAAACGCCGAAATATACAGGTATTTAGAATTTATTTCATTATAATGACTGAGGCACAGATACGCTTCCAAACTGCTTTGAAATTGTAAATACATCAATAAAACACTGTTTTCAACTGATGCTTTTTTATATATATATATATATATATAGTGGCGTTTCATTTTAATTGTGGAAAAACACGGATTTGGGTTTTTTGGTTTTTTTTTTTAAATCAGAGAAAATCGTGTGTCCCCACCCTTTAAAAACCAAAATTCTCTGATTTTTTGACAGAGAAGACCAGGATCCCTGCTGACCAGAGGCTTCTCTGCTGGCCTTGGGGAGCTGAGCCTCTTGTCTGGAGCCAAGTTCACCCAAGTTGCCCAAGTCCTTGTCCCTTGGGTCACAAAAATCCTGTTCTTAAAAGGGACCTTGCAAGTTTTACTCTTCAGCCCTTTTAGAACATGGATGGGGTGCCCTGTTACACCGCTTAATTGCAAATCTACCTGTGCAAATAGGTAGATTTGGAAATATTTCCATATTTGGTTATTTCCAAATAACCTGGAAAGAAATCTACCTGTGCAAATACTGTTACTTGGAGGTACCTCTTTCTACCTATGCCACATTTTTCCAAGTTTAGGTATGAGAATGTCATGAAAGACTCATTGAAAGTTTACCATTTAATCAGACCATGTTGAAACTCCTTACCATTTAACCAGAGCCTTGTTATTTAACCTGCAAAGGAAGTTATTGTTCTGCTCTTTGGAAAAAAAAAAACACACTTACTTGGAGCGTTAGACTAAGCACTAAAGCGTACGCATGGCAGGAAGAAGCTGTGTATTCAGAAGAAAGCTCGAAGACCAGATTACAACTCTGTAATTCAACTAGATCATCTAATAGAGATTCCTTCTCAACCTTAAATCACTGTACACCAAACCAGCTTGTACAGTAACATTTTCAATCGCCATTGTTATAGTGTCCTAAATGAAGGGTATAGTCAAATACTCTGCAGCTGTGGCAAAACAAAGAAGAAAGCCTTCCCATAATCTGTAAGCACCAGCTGCTCTGCTCTTACCACACAGGTCTACATCAGTGTTAGGACTACCGAATCTTTTGGCATCCAGTAAGGTAAAAAGAAAAACAACATGGCTTACAGTTTAAGCTGCAGCTAAGAAACAATTCGTTAATCAGTATATGTTACAAGAATGCTGTTTAGCCCTCAAATGCTCTCCAGCCATCGGAGACGCACGATACCGTCTCACAAGAGAACACTTCAGTTGGAAAAAGAACGGTGCCATTCAATGCGTTTTATACCTCCTCCAGATCTGTTTTATCATGTCACACTGTTATATACACCTCTTCTCCACTCTATAAAAATGCATCAGTAGGTTTCAAACTCCTTTATGCTCGCTACATCAATGGTTTTCTATGTCCGTATCTGAGATCAAAAGCACTACTTGAATTCTCTGTTGGCCTCCCTCTACTAGATTGCTTTTTTCCCTGCGCTACAACCAGTTCCAGTATCAATATTTAATAGCCAAAAATTTCAGTGGCTTACTTCAAAACATTCGTTTCCCGGCCAAAGAACCAAGTGAACCGAACAAGCTGTGTTTTCTTCCAAGAGCAGTTATTTGCCCTACAACGACTCTTAATTTTTCTAGATGTGTTACCCACATAGATTTTGCTCTTTGCAACACCCGTGTGAGCGAGTAGATTTGCTGCACCCAGCACTACCTGCTCTAGCTCTGCTTGTACCCCTCACAATTTCCAGGCTTTGGCAGCTTAGGACATAAGGGACAGGAGTCACTGCAATGACTACTCTGTTCCTTCAATAAACAGAAGCCCATGAGCCAGGCTTCAGGTCAGCAGGGGCTTTGGGAAGAAGACCTGAAGATGAACAGTTTGATTTGCAAGCCTGGGAACACATTACACAAGGACGCACAGTGGAGTTTATCATGATCTTATCCGCACGATAAAGAGTGTGCAGACACCATGTCTCAGGGCTTATGTCTTGCTGAATCTTCTCAACTGAAGTGACAGTCACCAAAAAACACAAGTTGCCATGGGTTCTTTATGGAAAGAAAGAAAAAAAAGGGAGAATTTTTGCAAGATCCTAGGCAGTGAGAGGCTCCTTCATTCATGGAAATAAAAATAAGACGGGCTTTAAGGAATTTTGCCACAATGGGGCGTGCAGACAATCAACGGGTGATGGAGGGATGGTTGCTAAATGCACCTGACCTGAATTCAGAGCAAGTCCAGATTTCTTTAGAGTACCGACAGACTGGCATGGTTACAACCACGGGAGGGACCAGAAGACGAGTCACCGAGCCACCCAGTCTCTCTCCTCCTTCACCATATAAAATCGCCTTCTGCTTTGCAGACAGATACTCCACACTCTCAGCTGAACAGTGTCTCTGAGAAGGGTCACCCGCCCAGCATCCAGGCTGTCAAGTGAGAAAGGCTGGGCAGAGATGTAAATTCAGGCTTGGGTTCTTTGTGTGTTAACTATTTAAACCATCATTTCTGCCTGTAAGAAGAATCTTCGGCCAAAATCTGAAATGAAAGGGACGGGGGCCCTACAAATTTGTAAGCTGTATTGAGACCTGGACAATGAAGGTGTTGCAGTCCGGCAGCACAGGCAACGTGAGTGGCTGTTGCAACCGCCTGCCATTGTATTGGGGGGACGCCAGGAGGAGCCTCCACACTGCGCTTCAAAAACAGCAACTTCTGAAAGAACTGGATTGTTCAAACTCCGTGTTTCCACTGTGAGATAAGAGTCCCCACGAAAATACACGCAGACCTGAATGCTACTCAGTGTGCAGATCTTTACATCTACCACGCATTGCAATCACTCTTGTATTTATACAATAGATGATAAACGCTACAAAAGAGAAAAAGGTACAAGAGAAAAAAGCACTTTAAAAGAATAATCCTTTTTTTTATTTTCTCCCTATTATGCTTATTTAACACAGCATTATATTTTGGAAGTGTTTCTCTCTCATCCTCTTCACTGAAAGTAGTTCACCAATTAACTTTAGTAGCATGAAAAACTCAGACTGATGCTTCTTTAAAAATATTAAAACCAGGTCTACTTTAAGCTGAACTCTACGCTCTTCAGGGTAGAGACCCTGCGTTTCTACCTATTTAAACAACATCCAGCATAAAAAGGCCCGTTTTGTTTGGGGGCCATGTGGGCACTACAACACAAACAGTGCCCGTGGTAAAGATGCATCTTTTTGGGGGGGGTTGTTGGTAAGCAAGGATCCCTGGCGTATCTGTTTTCTAGGCAGGGCAGCAGGTACTTTTTTTTAACCTCATGAGTTACAAAGACCTGCAAGTAGCAGGTCTGAGGACGGGCAGAAGTCAGGAAGCAAGCCTCTGGTGCAAGTGGGAGAAGTTGCTTGCATTAAAGTAGCAAACAGATTTGCCTAAGGGTTTGATGCTGACTTCAAAAATGTAAGCAGACTTTTAATACCCAGCTGGTGTTCAACAATGTCAGCAGATCAGGAATGATAAATGGAAGAAAAACATCAGCAGGCAGAATGAGCAGATAATGAGGTGTACTGTTGCCCTTGGAGGCATCTTCTACATTTTAGCCGCATGAAGAGCAGATCTGGTACAGATGCCCGAGGCTCATGCTGCAAGTTGAAATCTTTGCCACGAGAAGCAAGTCTTCCGTGTAAGAAATGTGAGGCCACAGGATCAAGTTGCTCAGAAGTCATCAGTTTATATTCCACAAGGCAGCGGTTAAATACACCGTACCCTTCATGGACCTGACTATAGGCTGGGCAGGGAACTGCCTTCTGCAGGCTCATGAGAAGCCAGAATGACAAGCACAGAATTTGAGAGAAACATCTGTAAAACCAGACTGATAATATCAAGCTGTTTGAGAGGGTCAGGAGGACCTGTTCAGATCAGATCAGATCAGATCAGATCAGTCTATTCCACTTAAAATGACATGCTTGCTTGCCCATTCATACCATCGGATGAAGTATGGTGCTGCCCAGAAACACCCGTCTCTGTGAACCAGCTAATCTCTCAGATGTTACTCTGTCCTATCTTCTTCATGATTTCAGGCTAACATTGCTATCCACCTCTTGTTCATTTGCCTGCTATATCATTTCTAAGCAGCAAGAAGAAACAGCCCCATTTCTCTAACCGCTAAGGAATCCCAATCACCAAGGGGAGGATAAACTTTTTTGTGAACAAGCCTAGTGGGACCTCCAGCCAGACAAGACATACAGTGACGGTCAGGATGTGGTGTAAACATATGAAGATGATACAACCACCTCCCCTTTGATGTGAGGGCTTACACCTGAGATGCCCGAGAATAAAGGGGAGGAAGGGCAATAATTATGTATCCAGTGAAAACACCTTGGTCTTTCCCTGCGCAGGGAAAGGAAAACAAATCCACAAACTCACAGCATCCCACGCAGACACCTGTTCAGTCATTTTATGATCCAAATCATTTTGTAGGTAGCGAGTGCTTGTGTACTTGTAGGGGGTGGGAGGCATTACCAACTGGGTGAGTTTGTCTGCTCTGGCATTTTCCTTTCTATCACATAAGTGGCAACCTTAAGTGACAGTTCCTAGTCCCCTTCCAGGCCAGGTGAGAGATCCCAACTTTCCTGCTTGCGGATATTAAACACAGGGGCCAACGTGCTTGGATCTAAGCAGGCTCTTCAGTACGTTTTGAGAGGGTCTGTGCTCACAAGATCTGCTGAAACAAATTTCAAACTTCTTTCCAAGTTCTGTTCTCTTTCGCTGCTCAGCAACTTTGAGTCCTCATGGCTTATCGACAGGGTGGCAGTGATTCATGCACAACGCAGTCACCTGGGCTGGTGGCAGGCTCCAAAGGCAGAAATGTGCAAGTGAGGCCTTTTCCAAGCTCATCCCTCCGTACCTGCTCTCGAGATCTTGCTCTCTGACAGGACTTTGAACAAACCGGTGGGTGAAAGTGGACAGGGCATGCTGGGACAGGGTAGGCAAGCCCTTAGTACATCACGCATTGTAAGAATGGACCATCCTAAATCTCTGGAGGTGAACTATGAGCGTCGTGAATACTGCTGAGGCCACCTGCCCCTTGTCCTCAACCCAAAGGCTGTTGCCAAGGTCTTTAATGACCTCCTCTTGGCCAAAGCGCAGAACCTGTTTTACATCCTCACTCTCCATGGCCTCCAGCTACCTCTGACACAGCAAACTAACCCTGCTCCTCTGAACACCTCAGCCTCCCTCGTCGTCCATGATTCTGAGAGAACAACGAGACAGGTGAGAGGAGGAACAGGTGAGGACAGAGGACTCTCTGCATCTCTCATCCATCTTTCTTCCAGAGGCCTCTCTTTACCCCTTCTCTCCTCCCTCTGTACTTTAACGCCATGACATTTCATTAATAAACCTTTCCCAAAGAGGCTGTAATCTAAGACAAGCACTAAGAGATGAATACCATGCATGGAGGAGTACAAAGGGACAGTACTGTCGGCATGACAGGTAGTGGTCTTAACACTTCAGCAGCCTAACCAGCATCAAGTTTTCAGAGGCATCAGGAAAGAGTTTTATAGAAGGTACTGAAAGAGCACAACGATTTAGCTTTGCAGATATTTACAGGGAGCTTCTCCCTAACGCATAGCAAAGAAAATGCTTGCATGATTAAGACAATTGGCTAAGAAGGTAGCAGCGTTCTGAATGGAAGAGAGTGGGACGAACCATCTGTCCACGCCAGAGAGTGGGATGTTATAGTAACCAAGGTGAGAGTCTGGACAAGAATATGAATTGTGTGAATGGACAGGAAAGGCAGTACACATCAGAGATGCTATGGAGAAAGAACGTGCAAGACTGAGACGCAAGCCTAGACACAGGGGCCTGGAGCCCTTCCTAGTCCGAGTTCACCTGTTCCTGCTCAAGTGCTAAGTCTGGCCAAATGAAAACTGGTTTTCAGAATTCAGCTATCCACTAATGTCACGTGTGACTAAGATTAAGTAAGAATTTTAATAGAAGCATATTCAGCACACTGGCACTTCATCAAGCTGGGAATATATTCAAGAACAATTAAATAAATGAATTGAGTAGGATAAGTGGGAAAGAAAACCCTATCAAGTAGCTCTCCAGCTACTAGCTTCAAGAAACTAAGCAAAAATCATATTGCATCTGTCAAAGCTAAAAGCTTCTCACTTCACAACCCTCTTACCTTCAAACATATAAAAGGGTAACAAACAATTGCCTCTTGCTGCCAAGGCAGCGTGCAGTATCAGCCCATTTCCAGAGTGCCCTCTTGATGGCAATTTACTACAGAGAAGATATAGCCTGGACAGTGAAATATGAGAAACCAAGTCTATTCTTTTTCAGCCTCTCCTCCTTGTAAAGGGCAATTCAGTGAGAGGTTTACAAAGGTTGGGAATATGTCCTTTATGTGAGGCATACAGCTCCCCATTATAACACAGAAGCTTTTGTTACAGCTGCATACACTGAAACATGGAGAGCACTTAAACTTCATCTGAACAATTGCTTCAACTTTGTTGTTTTTTTCTTTAAATAAAAGGCTATAGTGATGTCTGCCAAAATTTATGCCAAGCCAATGAATCTTTGTAAAGAGAGTTTTAGCACTTGTGAGATATAGAAACAGTAAGTTGTTTTTAACTTGTTTTACATCCAAACGAAGCATACAACTGTTAAACCCTATTAATAATATTTAGAGATGATGGACAAATCGAGTCATTTCAAGCAAGACGACTAATTCCTGCTCAAGGCATCCCTTCATTAGGCAGACTGTGCATTAACTGGCCTAGAAAAGTATTTCATCTACCCTAACAAGCCTGCAGTTGTTGCTCCTCAGATCTCATTAAGGACCAGCTAAAAATGGCCAGATGGGATACCCTGAAGGAACAGAGGCTCAGTGACAGACTGCCGGTAGATGGCATACTTCCTTAAGTACAGCGCTCTGGAAAGCAGAGTCTTTGAGATGTAAGGGAGAGCTCTGAAACCCTGCAGTCGTACACAGTCCCACGGGCTATTCTGCAGCAAAACAATTATTAAACGCGATGTCCCGGCCACGTTTTCAGCGCTCAGTTCCACTGTCATTTTAACTAGGTCTGGTGTTTTTCATTTCCTCTTCTAAGCTGTTGAGAACTAGTGCTTGGCCCTGTTAAATAGCTTATGGATTTACGGCATTTCGGTCACGGGTGAAGTGACCACATGTACTTCCTGCTAACCTCACCGGGACTTTGGAAGGCTTAATCTATGGAAGCTGCTAGACATCCACAGATGAAAGACAAAATCCATGCTGTGATCAGAGGACATTTTCTGCCAAGATGCATATAATGTAATTGAACTTCCTAATTGTAGTTCTGTACAATTGGTAAGTTTAAATACAGTGAAGGTCAGTGAAATGAGCATTTAACAAGAGAACAAAGGTGATAAAATGCTATGCATCAATTAGTCTTTTTAATCTATGTCAAAGCCATTTATTATTAAACACTAAGCTACAGTAACGCTGCTGTGAAACCAAGGAGCCCATTGAAATCAGTGTTACCTAAGGTTATGTTACCATAATCACTACCTCCGTTGTCAGAATTAAATGACAGTTCACACAGACAGAGGAGATATCTCTATATGGGCATGAATATTTAATTACACGGTTCCCCGCTCATTTCTATGTAATTTAGAGAGTTTAACATATTACAGGAGTTTTTTTATGGGGGTTTTTCATGCCAGGCTGAAGGCAGCATATTGTGCTACCTTGTAAAATAAAAATACATCCAAGCCAGGGGACATTTTTGGAGTCCTCTGATCCAGCACTTGCTGCAGAACAATGGTTGCTGATGTGGGAGATGGGAGTGATCTGCCTCACTTCCATAATACTTGCCGAGTAGCCCGTATTAGCACGTTACATCAAGTCCGAGACTAAATGACAAGGCTCTCACTTCAAGAAGCCACGTGGAGGGGGGTGGGAATAAAATGTTGGTTGCCAATTTACAAATCCCTGCACGAGATTATTTAAAGAACAGTTAAAAGTTTTAAAGCAGTTGTCACACTAGGCCTGTTAGGTCGTAAAGCCCTTACAATGGCCAATGAATTCATATCCTAAAGCATCCGAAAGGGTTGCTGCGTGAATGGCTTCTGCATTTTTCCTTAGCTGTCACTAAACAAATCCCAACGTATAGTGTCATCTGTTAGCAGAGGGACAGCAAGGTTCAATTAGTCATTTGTGAATTACTCTGAAATCTCTGGATGAAAAGCATTAGAAATACAAACTGCTTTCAGAAAAATGGCTAAGTGTTAGGAAGTGGAAGCAGGAATACTAATTTCAAGCAACTTATGCCCACATTACCACAATCAACCCAGACATCTGCAGCCAGGAGACTCATTTACAAGTAGATGAAGCATTCTGAACAAGACATCCTACTACAATGCTCATAAAAGAGAGTTCTCGCTCAGTAGGATGCTCTGCTCACTTGCTACTATTGAGTTTATGCAAATGCAAACCTACTGAAAATAAAGTAGGTTTGCAAATGCAAACCTACTGAAAATAAAGAGGGGAAAGGATGAAAAAGGAGGAGTGTGGACCTCTATCTGTCATGCAACATGAAAAGATATTCCAAAACTTCCGCATGCCTAAGAACACTACATTAATTGGTTTAAAAAAAATGCTTGTGGATAACAAAAATATCCAGCAAGAAGCCTCCTTCCTAGCAAATATCAGTAAGCATATGCCATAGTTTGGTATCAGAAAGCATGACAGACACAGGAAACTTCTCGCTCCCAAATGTTTTTGCTAGCAGTGGTTAAAAAAAAGGTAAGTTAGAAGCGTGCTCTCAAATATTCGGCAATTTCACTTGCATCAAAAACACATTTTCCTTTTCTTTTTTTTTTTTTGTGTGTGCGCACAAGTATTTGCTACCTAATCACTGTAAAGTTTAGTTTCCAAAGATAGGGGGGAGTTACTACATCCGTCCAAGCTAGGTCCAGGTAATTATCACAAGTAACAAGTCTTGTTACAAACCATAAATCAAGGAAATGCCCTTACAGGCAGTGAACAGATGGATTTAGGCTTGAGCATGGCCATGGCACGCTCGTTTTATTTACAGAGCACCACACAGATGTGAGAGAGTGATGCATCACCAAATATTGCAATAAATTACATTTTTCATCTATAGTTGGTATCACACCTGCAACTGTATTCTCTAATCTCTCACAGGGCTAATACTGACATGCCAAACTTCTAAGCATCTTAAAATAATACTTAAATAAAATTGCAAGAGAATTTTTGCCTTACGTTCCAGAGGAAGTTCACACTGCTTTAAATTCACATTTATTTAAGGAGTGAGAGTCAGAGCTTTCTGTGCACTTATTTACTACTCTTAGAAGGCCCCTGAGCATCATTTACAGCCACGGTTTTATTAGCAACAGAAGAAGTAGATGACATTTTAAAAATTATATTAGTTAACAGGCTGTCCAAGGAATTTGGAAGGTAGCATCAAATCCACTGGACGGCTTTGAAATCTCAGTCCATGTTTTCTATTTTCGTATAGCTATGCACTGCTAGACTCATGATTAAGTACATGACATCACAGCTGGAGAAAAATCAAAGAAATATTACCATTATCCCTTAGACAGTATGACAGGTATTGATTTTTTTAAAGGCCTAAACATTTCTAAAACAAATAGTTTTCCATAAAATAGGGCAAACAAAGGCTATTGTTGGTATGTTGCTCTGAAAGGGTTTTACTAGTAATTTTGTTAAGTAGTGCAGCACTGTGCCACTGTTGAGTGATGTGGCATTTCTACACTCACACTAGCTAAAAAATAGGCTACTTTATGCTTAAAAACCACCCCCCAGAGATTTGTTGCCTTTCCTTATCTAAAGCTAAGCTTACACAGCGTTCTGGAAGCATGACTGCAGTTTGTGTGGATGCCTGATCAGACTATAAACCAGCTAGCTCAAGTACGGACAGTAGGGAAGCGTCAACAGCACAGGGCTTCAATACAGACTGCATGAGCCTACTTTGTTTTCTTCTTTGCTTGCTTTTTAAATTATTTTGCTCTCTTCTGCATACTGTGCTAAGCCTTCATCAGGAAGGGCAGCATACAAATCAAGTAAATAAATACATACATTTTTTTCTCTCTCTGCACCCCTGAAGGCCTTAAGATGACCTTAATTGTGAGGACACACAGCTCTACATCCTCTAATGATATTACAAAGTTTGGGAGAGGGAGAGAACCCATTAGTATGATCTTTAAGAAGGTGGGAAGAATTTTTTTTGAAGAATTTGATTCAGGTTATATTGTAAAGGAGCAAAAAAAAAAAAAAAAAAAAAAAAAAAACCAACTAAAAAACAACAGACAATGATGTTTGCTTTGTGCAAGACGCATGAATGCACTAGTTGAATGTGCTTATGGGAATCAAAGGTTAAACTTGTAGAGTCTGCTGGTGGTAATTAATGTATAGTTTTACTTTACATCCGAAAAGTAATCGGTGTGGCCAGCATGGCAGCACGCTCACCCACACCAGAGTCATCTTGTTTGGCAATACATTAGGGGAGAATGCAGAACTTCAGTTCCCTTGTAGGAAATGGTTGACATTTTTTTTTTTAAAGGATGGAACAGATTTTAAAATATTCTGCTATAGATCTTAAATAGATGTCTGATACCTCCCGTTTCTTGTGGAATATTCACATCCCAAGATGGCATGAGATCCACACTGTGAGAGGGGAAGTAAAAGCCCCTCTAGCACATCCCAGACCCCTGCCTCATGGACCCCAATACTTACCGCAGGGGTCCAGATGAGCGGCAGCCGCGAAGAAATGCTGATGCAGGCTCCACAGTTTTGGAGCTGCCTGAGTCTGCAAATCAGTGAACGGTGGCGGCAGAGCTCCGGAGAGACAAGGGCTGCTCAAAAACCAGCCGGGAACATAGTTGGGAGGCCGGTGGGAGAAAAATGGGATGCCAGCCGGGACATGCCGCCTGTGGAGCTGGGAAGCCCAAGCACCAAGTGCAGGGGAGCGGAGCTGAGTGTCTGCCGGAGGACTCCAGGAGATGGGACAAGAAACACCAGCCTTGGGAACCGAGGAAAGCCTGGGAGCAACACTGTAGGCCCATTAGGGAGCCTAGGTACCATGGCTGGGAATGGCAGCAGGGAACTGCTAGCCCTCTCTGGCAGCTCAGCGAGGAGGAAGATGCAGCTGGCTGTGCAGTCCTGCATGGGAACTACGAGCCCCACCAGTTTGGGAGGAACAAGAAACCGACTACAGGTCAGTCGGGACCCAGGGGCGGTCACACTGGGAAGACTGACCAGGGTGGGGCATGGGGTAGCTGCCAAGTGGACACTGGGAGACAGAATCCCAGGAGTCTGTCGGTGGATGCCGGACACTTTCAGTTGCGCTTTCTTAGTTACAGTTAGTCCCAAGCTGGGACAGGTTTAGTTGCCCAAGACAGTCCGAACTTGAGGGACCGACCACGGGGAAGATTTTTCAGACTGGGAAGACCAGACCCATTTTGAGACGGGTGGCGTGGATGAGACGATCATCCAGGAGAAGACCTGCAGGGTACAGCGTTCACCCAGGCTGTGGATGTGGTAAGGGTGGGGTTAAAGGGAGGTTCTGGAGCCCCACTAAGACCAGGGTCGAGACCCCTTTGCCTTGGGGCCACCTACAGGGAACTGCCTCCGCAATAACCAACATCAAAGACGTGGCAGGTGAGCAGGAGCAGCACCCGAACCACCTAGGTGGCACCAGAGCCCGATCTCACCCTGACGTTGCTTGGGGGAAAGGCACCCATCAAGAAGGGCCCGAAGCCCTACAACACCTACAAGAGACGCACACCCACATACAAAAAATTATATTTACTCAAGCATATCAGGAAGCCAAAACTCCTAACCTACAGTGTGGTCTGCATTAGGGATGTTTTTGAAAGGGCAGGGCATGACCCCCAAAAAAAAAAAAATCCACGTTCAAGTCAGGTGCCTTATTTCCAACCAATCCAAAAATAGAGCTGTCCCTCTATTAAAGGGTTGTGCAAGACATACCCAAAAAGGAACTACGAAACAAGATGACACTTTGTCCTTTAGGAGAGAGGCCTAAAGCAGAAGGGAGACCATGACAGGGTGTCTACATCCATAAATACATTTCTACGAGACTGTTTGACAAATATATAGTCAATTATCTCTGGTTAAATAGAACTGAGATGGATTTTTCCTTTTTTATTTATTTATTTAGAAAAGAGTGGAAAGTGGGTGTTTCATTTCAGCTATCTTATACTATGTTCTAGCGCAAAATACATAAAACGCACTTACTTCATCTCTATAAAGAGGACTTGTATAATACATTATATCCATTGCACTGCTGTTCAGCATATCTCTTAAACCACGTACTTTATCAGGAGTAATGGAGTCAACGGTGTCTAAAAAAGAAAGAAAGAAGCCCAAGTGTTATATTCAAAATCAAGATAAAACCCTATGATAAATATAGATAAAGACAATGTGGATAAATGAAAACATGAGGAGGTATGTCTGGTAACCACTTTCGCAAATTTAAGTAATGGAAAATCCAAAGGAGTTAAGTGCTGATATTAATGCTTCAAATAAATGCATCAGCTCTCCTCAAACAGAAGACAAATATATATTTGGCTTGACCTAAACAGAAGAACATTTCAATGCAAGTCGTTATTTTATTAGTACTTGTAGAAGTCTAGAAAATTATATTTTCAGTGACTCTACCTCCATCAAGAGCAAGTTTAGATCTCCATTCAACGGGTAGGAACTCAACATGTGTTGCAAGATTGGAAAAGTACTTTTCTTCTATTTTTCTTGCAGTATCACGCATCCTGAAAAATTAAAACGTGTATTTTAACTGAATTGTATGCATTACATAAAACAAAAGTTAACACGCGTCAGATTAAAAGTGGCCTTATGTACTGGCACGATAACTTGCTCATATTACTTTTTCAACTCTTATGATATGTATCATTATTAATATACATGTTTATTTTTACATCTAAACACAATGTCACCTGAACATTTTTACTGGACTAAATTGTCATGTAATGAAAAACCTTTTGTATCAACTGTGCAAGAGACTGAGTTTTAGGAACTTCTCTTGTGTTACAGTATGGGGCTGATATAAAACACATTCATGCCAAAGAAAGTCTTCCCATTAAGGTAAATGGACTGGGAATTACATTTTAAGCGCTAAATCCTGGTCTCACTGATTCATGAAAGTTTTGCCATCATCTTCAGTGGTTCAGGATTTTGCCCCAAGTGTGTAGTAATCCAGTACATAAAGCAGCCAGCTAATGTTAATTGTTAGATACTCTAAAAAGCTATAACATGACTGAATGGAGTATGAAAACAGAGGAGTTAGCTTCTTCTAACAGGAAAGTGACTCCTAGAGCGGCCAGAAGCTTGACAGTTCATAAAGCAAGCAACAGGAACATTTATTAGTTACAGCAGAACAAAAGGCTCACTAAGCTTTTCAACTTCTTTTCCTTTTTTAAAACATGTTTAAACATAACTTTTAAAAGGCACACAAATACTTAACTTGAAAGGAATATAGGAATATTCATGAGCTTCTTCCTTATGCAAGTTCCCTATTATGAATGTTGCCTACCCCTGACAACGCTGTGCCATGATTTTAGTGATTCCTGCTTTACAGATGGGTCTGAAGGAATTTTATGTTGCATGTGGGAAGTCAGGACCAGCTGCCACAGATCAGGAAACCAGGTCCTCCAAGCCCAGTTGTACCTTAGCTCTACCACTAGCAGGTCCCTGAAGGCCACGGGGAAACTCTGGTCAAATCACTCCCACCTCCCTGCTTCTATTGCATGTACGAATATCTACCCAATTCGCTGGGGATGCCAGGAGAGACTAGCAGATGACAACAGTGCTTGGGAAAAAAAGTACTCTTTGTGAATGAATGCTTGCCAATTGTTTTTAAAAGAGCACACCTTTCCCAAAATGATCATTATATACTTCTCCAAAATGAGAAAGCTTTTGACTTCAACAGCAGCTGACTGAAGTTTAGGCCATTTGACTGAAAGGATTTTTTGAGAGATGGAGGGGAAACAGAGTAACTTTCCCACCCTCATTTAAAATGATTACTGCTGCGCTGGCTAAACAACCTGCACTGCCATTTTTCAAGCTTGGGCTGAGGGGCAAGTGCTTGCAAGGTAAAGCAGAGCGCTCGGTGCGCAAGAGAAGGAAACAGATGAGTAACAGGCAAAAGGGCTCATGAAGATGTAAGGAGTCTTCTTGACGGGCCCCAAAGGAAGCGCCATCAATTCTCAGATGGACGGTCCCCTCCAACCCCCACATCCACCCTGCGCAAGGCCAAAACAGCAACGAGACTGGGTAAATATGGAGGAAAGGCAAGGGAAGGGAAGAGAAGGGAATCCTCAGATTTCTTAGGGACGTCATGAAGGGGAAGACAAGCGAAGAGATACAGCAACAGCGACAATACACACCATGCCCTTACATGCAAACTGACCTTATGCTGGCAATCAGGGGAAAACCCCCCAAACCCTATCTCATTTCTCAAAAGATATTTTAGAAGAAACTCACATGAGCCTAACTTCTCCCCCCAACGAATCTCCATGTTACAGTTCAAGACGACAGTGGGAAATTCCACACACACACACACACACACACACACACACACACACACACACACACACACACTGAATTTACTACATACCCAGGGGGAGCTCTTTAAACGGGGTGTGTGCGCGTATGTATATGTGAATGTATATAAATTGCTTTTTAATTATATACACACGTGCCCTACCCTTAATTTAGAGAGATAAATTAATTTTTATTTTAAAATTTATCTCTCTAAATTAAGGATAGGGCATGTGTGTATATAATTAAAAACTAATTTATATACATTTGCATATACCTATATCCATATAAACACCCCCCCCCTTTAAAGAGCTTCCCCCAAGTAACCAAGACAAAAGAAAAAAATGTCTGACTGAATAAAAGAAGTGACTGTACAGCACAAGACAGGAAATTTAAGCTCTTAAAAGCTAAAGGAGGCATGCTAGGAAACACCAACACTCGTTAGGCAGAGACAGGTTTCCATTACCACTGGGAAACAAACCGGGCAGTGGCCCACTAATACCAGGACCGATAACAACCAGACGGGAATCGCTCCTCGATTCAAACTGGTCAAAGCGCAGAAGCTGTACGCATGCATAATGCACAGGATTTCTATACAATAAAAACAACAAGCTGGGAAAGCAGAGTCGCACCTTCGGAAAAGAACTGAGCCCTAACAGAAGAGGAAGAAGGTAAAAGCTTCACACAGTTTTAAACAGCAAAACAGCATGACAACACAAATTATAACAGGTATAAAGTTGACTTAACTGAAACAGTATATCAGAGCCCTTTAAGAGTGGGATGAAACATCTTCAAATACTGCGGCCTTTTTTTGATCAATTAAATTACTAACCTTTGTTGGGTTTTTAAAGATGTCTAGTTGTCAGATAAAATTCCCCCAAAAGCTTGGAAGGTTATGGGCCCACAAAAGCCACTCTCATCTCACGTATCCGTGGGTCTCTTCTTTCTTTTCAGAAGCAATGGGGTATAGACTAGGCAAATTGGACCTTCCCATCATGGAATACTGAGTTTCCAGAGGTGCGCGGGGTTCTAGTCCTGTTTGGAAGGGTTTGGCATATTACTACAACCACCCTTGGGCAAGTTGATGATGAGGATTTCCTAACAGTTTCCATTTCAAATACAAAGCAGCTGCATTTGGAGAAGCAGTCCTACTAGGAGCTCTCTCAACCCGTTAGCAGAGCACCCCGTGTCCCCACAGTGTGCCCCTTTACGTTTTCCACAAGGGCACCAGCCAAGCACCATTCCAGTTTCATCTCTGTTGCTAGCTCTCTCTTGATTCCACTTCATGTTGTCCAGTCTCCTGGAACAGGTCCAGACTTTGTTGTAATGGATGAAAGGCAAACTTTTCAACAGCTCCTGGGTGATTTAGAAGCCTAAAAACGCTGTTGGAGACAGCCTCCGGAGCAAGCCCAAGAATACTGCCAAGGCTGGCCCATGTACACCCAAATCTGCACACGTCTGCACCTGCGAATTAGCCAGAAGCAGCGGCTCAGGCACACACCCCAGCACATGTTCCCTGGCTCTCCACATCTGGAGAAACAGGACATGGCCCATAGGACAGGGCTGCTCAGATGCACCCAAGCTGCCTACTTTGTGGGTTCATCTTATTTCAGCGGTGCTCCAGGACTCACTCGAGAGGCCATACAGACATAGCCTATGACCTTTTTTTTTTTTTTTTTTGGAAGCCAGACTCGGGCATTTTTAAACCTAAGTCTCATTACAACTACAGATCCTAAGACATGTTCAAAAACTTTAACATAAGTTAGAAGCCCAGAATACTCACTTCATGGGAAACGCAGCTGGTCCCTCAGCCACTGCAGAGGAGTTGCATTTTATATCTATATTTATATAGATAGGGATAGATATATATAGATTGAGATATATATAGTGTAACAGTATTTTCTCTGTGTTAAGGCTATGTATGCAATGAAGACACATGAAAAAACACAGAGATAACAAAACTACAATCCCTTTGTCTGTATGGGTCTTCCTCGGATCTCAGATTATAAATATACTAGCACTACAGTCTCCTAAATTTCTATTGGTTTTAATTTCTACCATCTCATTTCGAGTTAAATATATCGCAACCAAGTTCTTCAAAATGGGTGCAAGTATATTTCTTAGTTGCTTTGATGCGTCAGATAACTGCACAGCAACTACAGTAATATATGTATATAGGCTACTGACCAATAAAAAAGAAAAAGAATACGCTATAAGACACATTACAACCAGACATGGAACTGTTAACCTTTTTTTGTCCCCTCTGCTAGGAATTGTTGTACTAGCCATGTTAACGTTGTCAGCGCACCCAAGATCAAGACAAGCCCTCATTCTACTCTAGCAGCCAAACCGTGCCAAGGATGCTCGGTTTTCTCACATATTAAAGCAGACTAGCAAAACATTTTATGTCGTCAACACAAGGTCCCAGTGAGCTACAGCTCATTTGGTACAAAGATTTTCATATGGCATCTTCCACTTATGACCAATTTAATACCTTTTGGCCAAAAGAAAAATTTGTTCAAGTTATCCTTACAACCCATGTATGTGTGTATTATTATCAGTGTAGCTTTTGGGGATGCTATCACTAGATTTCTTTCTGCTCCTTCTGGTTCACTTTTAATTTAGTACTTGCACTATTTCATAGATGGCAACTCTTTAGTCACAGATTCAATTAATATCTGACAGATGAGCTGAAACCTGATCCAAGAAACAAGTGGAAATAGTTCTTCGCCCAGATGCAAATGATCCGGCTACTGAAGTCTTTGTTCAGAGGAAAAAAAATATTTAAAACTGACAGCGACCACAGCCCTTTTAGTTTAGGATTCAAATAAAAAGAACAGAATCACAGGCGATGGATGCAACGTGGACGGACCTTTATGGGCATTTTATTCCACAGATGTTATGCACATGGAACAATGGGCTTGAAAATAAAGGTTTATGTTTTGCGACTCACTGTGGATGAAATGCTCTAAAATTCTGCAATCTATTTTGTGACTAAAGCAATTAAATTATAATTCCTTTAATTCTGCTGCTGCATATCTCAGTTCTTTGAAAGTGTGCCCTGGCAATGAACATTAGTGCGTCTGTTATCACTCTGATTTTCTCTTACGTTACTAAGCTTAGCTCCCTCCACTTTAAGGGGTGTTCAGCACAAGAACAAAAAATAAAAATCAGAAAGTCTATAAACAAAGCAGCTTTATTATTATGACAT